ANTTTATTTGATCCAGGTGTGTTTGAGCAGAGACACATCTAAAAGTTACAGGATGGTGGCCCTCGAGGACTGGAGTTGGTGACCCCTGAGCTAGACTGTTAACACATCTGCTAGCAGTGTTAGCTCACCTGTGTGTCCATTTCCTGTTTGTCGTCAGGCTCGGCTCAACTGTAAGCACTGCGGCAAGCCGGTGGTGGACGTCCGAGTCGGGATGCAGTATTTCTCAGAGTACAGCAACGTCCAGCAGTGCCCTCACTGCGGCAACCTGGACTATCACTTCGTTAAACCCTTCTCCTCTTACAAAGTACTAGAGGCTTATTGACAAACGTTTCAACACACGCTAGTTCAGATGCTTTTTGTTCTCATTTTCTAACACAATTTAGGACAGATCTTTAATTTTCTGGGGCCTTAAAGGTGGTTTTATGATTTTAAGTTCTCCCTTTTTTAAAAAAAGAAATACGATGGAAGAAAAAGTCGAAGTGTGAGAGAGGAAAGTGTTGATAAAGTGTGAGCAAACACATTTATCTGAGACAAGTGAATGTATCTGTAAGCCAAATTTGCTTTTATTTTTTACCAAAACCAATCTTAAAATAAAGAGAAAGATTCACACTGATGATGCTGTGGAGCGTTCTTTACATCTTCAACCTTTAGCAATCATTTCATTCATTTCCACACAGTTTGACAAACTAAAATCAGCATCCACAAGCCAATCACATTTAGGAAAAATGGAGTAGATCCACGAGTAATCTGCAGCTTTTTCACCAAACTAGCCATATGTTCACACCCAAGGCTATTGGGTTACAGGAACATCAACTCTTTTACAGCTTTTATTCTGCCAGTGTCGAAGTTGCTGCTTCATTATCTCTCGTCTTGTCCTTGCACGTCTCTGTAATCCTCGTCTCGTCTTACAGCGGCATCTTACTGCCTCTGCTAACTGAAACATTATTCAGTTCAGCCACCTTTAGGTCATTTTGAGTCTATTTCTAGTTATTCTGCATGTGTGTGTAGTGGATTTATCTTGCTGTGAGGTCATCTTGTCAGCTGCTTTGTGGGTCTGTATCATCTTAATGTGACGTATGTGAATGTTTTCATGTTTGTTCTGCTTGAGTTCAGTATTTTCCAGTCATTTTAAGACTCGCTGACCTCCCAACATGAGAACCCAGCTGCCTGTGTTGATAAATATGACCTTAAACTCTGAAGCTGCTGTAACATTCAGGCTCTGTTTAGTTTGTGTGAAGGCGTCTCTCCATCACTGCTGCACGGCTTCCTCCGTTGTGTCCGTGTTGCTAACAGGAAGCGTTTTACGGGCTTCAGGCTGCGGCTCCTCAGCTCTGGTCTTTGCTTTCTGCGCCAGCTCCTTGGCGGACGGCGGTCGGAGGACGCACATGGCCACCTGACCTTCTCGTGTGACCTTTGGCGTGGAGACGAAGGCCGTCATCACGTTCATTTGCTCCACCATCTCCTCCAGAGTTTTGTCCTGCAGAGAGAAAAACTTCATTAGATCTTATCAGAAAGTGTTCCTGCCAGAGAACTGGTTACTTTTACTTGAGTAACTTTTTGAAAAAATTTACTTCTAGGAGTATTTTTACTGCACTGTACTTTTTACTTTTACTTCAATAATTTTATTTTGAAGTATCTCTACTCTTACTTGAGTAAAATTTCTGGATTTTCTCCCTGCTGAATGAATAACAAACATGTTTTAACCAAAAATTTACCCGACACAAACACACACCTTGGATTTTTATTAAAGTTTTATATTGAAAGAAACTGATTTGGAATTTTTTCTTTTACCTGACTGTGTTATTTTTTGTTACTTATGAATTATTGTCATTTCGATTCTTAAAAAAGCAAAATTCTAACTTAACTTCACATTGTGGTCTGTCTGATGATGTCATTTTTAAATATTAAATGATTGATAATTTGATCAGTTACTCATATCTTGAGTAACTGATCAAAGTTAAGTTTTGTAAAATTAAGTTTTTACATGGGGTAAAAGCTGGCTACAGAAAAAAACTGTATGGAAAATTAATTTACCTAAGCAGAACCATGAAGAAGTAAAATAATAATAAAGTAACAGATCACAGTCCAATCTGTCAGTCTCACTGCAAAAACGCAAAATCTTACCAGGTATTTATTATCCAGTTACTATCAAAAATGTTATCACACTTGAAATAAAACAAAAGTAACTTACAATAACTTTTCTGCAAGATAGCAGCTTTTCAAAATAAGTAATTCCTAAATATTGATTAAAAAAACGTTCCAGTTCCATTGGCAGATTTGTAAAATGGGACAAATGTGTTACAAAAGAAAAGTTACTCATAAGTTCGTTTTGTTTACTAAGCAGTAGAAACTAAACCAAAAATACTTGATAAGATTTTATGTTTTTGCAGTCCTGGAAAGCGTCACAAAACATTTTCCTAACTTATTTACATCAGGCTCATTTTCACAATGTTAATAAAATCCTTGCTTTGTTTGACATTAAACATGTTTTTCTGATGTAATCCATTTAAGGGGGTGAAAATTAATCGTTGTGATTTAAAGGCTAAAAGCAAAATAAATTATCCTTAAGAAAAAAATTCAATAAGTAATAAAAAAACCAGCCATTTGCTAATAAAAATTAGATTTTTTTTTCTTTAGACTCAATAAATAGATTAAATTAAATTAAACCCAAACTTTTAAAACAATATAAATATTTATTTTTCTGAGTAAAGCTGACCAGGTTGTCATTGTGCTGGTGGCGTTTTCCGCGCAGCGTCAGCCTGACGTGATGTTTCTTCTCCAGCCAGCTCTCCGCTTGTTTCAGCTTGGTGGACAGATCGTGGGACGCGATGCCGACTGAGAAGCTGAGCTCCTTCACCTGGGTAGGACCTGCACAGCAAACCTGAGTCAGAAAACCTTCAGTACGCTCACTGAGCCTACAGACATCTTCACTCTAGTGAAACTATCACTGATCTCAACTTGTCACCAATTTGGTGCGTAACAGGAGGAGCTGAAACCCTGCTGATAAAAATCTGGAAGTAATTTTTATGAAATAGTTTAAGATTTCTTAGTTGTCAGATAAACATATCGTTTTAACAGAGGGTTGTTCCTGTTACCCATATGAAGTGAATAGTTGTGATCTTCTGGACATTAAAGTGATTTAGGTTTCATACTTGCTTTTGCCTTATTTTTCTCTCGGAGTCTCAGCTGCTCCTCGTGGAGATGTTTCCCGCTCATCAGCTGGTACAGCGGCGGCTCTTTGTTTTCCTTCAGCAGCACCAACTTCAGGTTCTTCTCATTTATGATTCTGATCACATCGGCGCGATGCATCAACCCCAGGTTCTCCCCGTCCTCATCGATCACCTGGATCTCTCTGTGAGGGATTTTCCGCCCAACGCTGCTGATGGAAGCGTTGGCGTGAGGATCCTGCTTCTTCTTCTTCACTGCTGGAGTCGGTGTTTCTTCAGGAACCTCCGTGGAGAACGCAGATCGTCTCCAGGATGAAGAGAGGATGCCGTGTCTTTCACAGAGTCCGGCTGATGTCAGAGCTGGTGTCCAGTAGCCGGGCCCGGTGCTGCCGCCGCACATAGCTCTCACTGTGTGGCCCAGAAGCCACCGCACGCGGCCTGCAGACATTTCCTGCACAGAACAACCGCAGTGAAACGTAATTAATGAAAAACAAAAATCAGAGCAAATTAATGCTAAAGGTATAAAGATGTGGAAGAATAAGACAAACCAAACTCATCTCTCACTCCAATCGTTTCCATTTGGAAACAATATCATAATATGGTTGATAAATTGTCAGTAATTATTGTGATAAATGATAACATTGTTGTTTTGGGACCATTTTCAAGTAATATAATGTCAATGGCATAACTCACCCTCTCAAATACAGGCACAATTAACACTGGAACTGGAAGACATTTTAAATATCCTAAACAAAACCGAAACAAAAAAATCGCACTCACCCCAAACCATAAATAAAATGGAATAGGATATCTCTGTAAACAAAACTACCCTTCAAAAAATATGAATCATTAGACTCATTTTAATTTACCATGTTGTTAACTGCTCATTGCGACAGGTTTAGTGGTTTGGACATTTTTCCAGTTATCAGTTCTGGTTATGATGGTTAACCGAGTTATTTAACGTTTGATCCGCCAATTGACTTAAAAATAAAAATCGCCACTGAATTTTATAAAATTAACATCAGCTGTCTGATTTCTAAATGCAATTGTACCCATATAATGATTACAATACAATGTATAGTCAACAAAATGATAAAAAGTGTCTATTTACGGAGACTTTCTTTTTTAATTGTCCTCAAACACTTAACATTGACCTACATCAAACCCTCGAAAAAATAACAAATAGCGTTTCAAACAAACCTTGTTTAAACAGCGGATACTCTGTCCAATTTACATAAACTACTACTACTACGTCCCTCCGTTTGTTAAATACATTTGCACATGTTTTACCTCACTAGTAGATTGTTTTTCAGTCCTCTGTGAGCAGCTGCAGGGTGACTGTGTCTACTTCCGCCTTGCACTACTTCACGGGACCATGCGTCAGAAAAGCGCTCTGCTGCCCCCTGGCGGTCAGGACGCGGAAACGGAATCCAAACTTGGCAAAACAGATGGACGTTCTGCACGTTTCAGACGTTTTCCTGCCTCAGCAGCTCAGGATTTAATAAGTGGATCAAAAACAGACTGCTGAATAAAGAATGTTACCATTTTAATCAGGTTTGTTAGAGCAGAGACACATTTAAAAGCTGCCTTAAGAGATTAACAGGTTTTGATCTGGGTTTAAATAGCATACACATAAGCTTTGTTGCTAAAACAGAAAAAAAGTACAAAGCTTAATGTTTATTTTTTGCAGATATTTATATTTTATTCCAACTTTAACTGCAACGTGCAACTACAGAAGTTAATACACATTTATGAAAGCCAAACTAAAAATATATTTTAAAAATTAGTTTCCTTTTGGAAACTTGAAGGCTGGACCAAATGTGAATTGATTTTTATTTATTTATTTATTTTTGGAGGGTTTTTAAAGCAAAATAAACATGTTATAATGGGTTAAACTCCTCCTTTGCACAAATAAAAGCCCACGCTTCCTCATAAAAATAAATGTTATAAATCATCCTTGGAAATATGCAAATATTTACAAGCAGATGTACAAAAGCTGAAGTTAGCTCGTTTTTAAAGTATTACCAATACAAATATGACTACAACATCACTTTTAATATAAAATATTTTACCTTGAATTATCACAATAAAATACATTTTAAAAATAGCTATTTAACTTTGATATTTTTCTAATGTATTTTAAAATCAAGACTGGTTTAGGAAACAGTTTAGTTTCTTGTCTCTTATTACAGAAAGTTGGCTAAGAATCATTGTTTCAGTTTGTTTTGAATGCATTTATTTAAATATCACCAACTTTTTAGAGTAAATAATAATTTGATTAAATAAGATGAGATTAAAAGATTGTTTTTTGTCCATACTGACGTAAGAATTGTAGTTTTTAGCTCCATTTCTGCTTCAAAATATAGAAATAAAAGTTGCAGTCTTGCTTGAAATATCTAATTAAATGGAGTTTACTTTTATTTTCCACGACTCTTTAAAGACAAAGAGTTGATTTTGTGCCTCTATGTGAGATATCAATCAGCTCATGTAAATCAAAATACATTAATGTCACTCAGAAGGAAAATTCATGGGAATAAAGGTCAGAGCTCCGGTTTTCTGTCATACCTGTCCGGTCAAAGAAACAAAACTTGTAAATAAACAAATTAAGCAGAGATAAAGCAGCTGCGTCTGCTAGCATCTGAGAAATAAACACATGCAAACCAGACGGAGAATCCAACACTGTTACCTGGAAAACGGACAGACAGCAGTAGATACCAGCAACCAGAAAGGAAACAGCAACGTGAAAATGTATGGTGGATTTAAATGATCCTGTTCAGGTGAGAGGCTGGAAAAAGCTCCACGAATGAAGTGGAAATATATTTTAGAAAACATTTTCATCTCTCAGGCTGAACTATAAATACCTCAAGTTTGACAGAAGAGAGACAGAGGACTTTATATTCCAGTTTAACTGCTGGAAAGATGGAAAAAAACAACCTAGGCATCAGAATTTATACTCTGTAACTTATATTTTATGACAATAAATGGTTTATTACAGGGAAAATACATTAGACTAAAACAATATATTCATATTTTCCTTTTCACCAGCTGGTATTTGATATTTTTAGAGCAAGTTTACACTTAAAAACTGATAAAAATAAGTAAAAAACATAAATAAGGAGCAGAACAGAAACTATTTAGAGTAATGCACAGATATTAGTGAACTCAGAGTATCAGAAATCCAGAGGTGGGGAGTTAATGAATTAAGTAGATAAAATAGAGTTTATGTGAAATAATAAAGAGGTAATGAGAATAACTGAGAGAATTTAAAGGAACCTGAACCCAGGAGAGCTTTGGTTCTTACAAAAAATAACACAAAGAATAAAAAAGATCACGTTTCCTGGACCAGAACAAAAATTAGTCATTTATTTATTTCCACTGGATTTCAGGTGTTATTCCAAATGTTTGTATCTTAAAGGAAACAGGATCAAAGCAAACTGGGTTTCCTCAGTCAGAATCATTATTTATTCTGCTTTTCCTTTCAATAAACTTTAGTTTCTTTAGTTGCATTCTTTCTTAATATAAACATTACTTAGAGGTGGGCAGAGAACCCAAATATTAAACTCATGAAAATATTTTTACTTGAGCAAAAGTAATAAGTATCCGTCCAAGAAATTACTCAAGTAAGAGTAAAAAAGTAAAACGTCTACTCAAGTACTGAGTAAATGATAAAAATTATCATTTAGTATTTAAAAATTACATAATTAGACAGATTAAAATATAAAGTTAAATGGAAACCTTGGTGTTTTAAAGATAAAAATGACAATAAATCATAGAAATATCAAGAAAAAATAAAATAAAATAACAAAATCAGGCAAAATGAAATTTTTCCAGATCAATTTATTTTAATAAAAACTGCAGGTTTGTGTCTGGTGAATCGTTGGTTAAAACATGTTTTTCATTTAATAGGTAGAAAATCCAGAAATTTTACTCAAATAAGAGCAGAAATACTTTAAAATAAAGTTGCTCAAGTAAAAATGTAACTATAGTTACGACCCAACTCTGACAAGAAATTACCAGAAATTTAGTTTTGATCAGAATTAATAATTAACCATTTATTCCCAATAAAACTCTGTGTATGATCAATGTGCTGATAATTATTACATACAGGAAGTTCTGGGTGTTTTTCTAAAATATTTAAATGTGTAATATCAATTACACATAAATATGGCCTGAGGTGTGCATGATAAAAATATTGTTTCTCAGGATTTTTAAGGAAGTATTTAGCTCAGTTTGCTAAATAAATCCTGAAAATGAAATTAATTAGAAAATCTTTACAACTGGAGAATATATTTTTTAAAAATGCGACTTGTAGTGACTGGAAGCAGCAGCTAGTTCAGAAAAGGGTCAAGTGGCTAAAACCAGGAAGTTTTTTCCCCACAAGACAGATTTTTTTAATTGATTTTTTTTCAATGGGTAAAACAATTTTGTTTTTTGTTGTTTAGATGTATTTAAATCAACTTCCGTTCCAGGAATTTAAAATGGAGATTAGATACTGAATACTCGTAAACTGTTTCACGTAATATGAAGATTTGTGAACGTTAGACTGAGATTATATAATTTTAAGTAATGAATGGATATAAATGAATAAAACATGAAAATAATAGATTAACTGTAAAACATAAACATTTAATTCTCCAGAATAAGGTTTCCGTTCTGGGTATCTGTCCTAGAAAATGTTATTATTTCTAAGCTGCTTTGCATGGGACAGCAGCTCTGTCACCGCTGACGACATATCCCAAAACTCAAATTTGCAAAACAAAATATTTGCACAGCTCACCATGCAAAGTCTGAGCATTTCCTGCTGACTGAAGAGTCTCTGTTTCTCCTCTGTGCTGCACTTGGTCACTGCTTTACCGGAGGAGGTAAGATAAGAAAATAATTCCCGTTTTAGGGAAAAATGCACATGTTTTTATTAATTTAATTGCAGCTGTGAAAGGAGAATTTATTTTTTCATTGCCGTCAGAGCAACATGCCTCCTCACAGCTGGATGAACTTGGTTTTGCTGGCTGGCTGTTTCTGGATTGTTGCTGCTGGTAAGTATGAAAAATCTACAAGAAACAAAAATTTTATGAGACTTAATTTATAGAAAAATACAGATGAATGAATTATTGCTGTCGTTATTATAGCTTTAAATGTGAAATGTATGATGGTGTTTTCTCTTCTTTAAAAAAGATCCAAATGTCAGACAGATAAAAGAGCAACAGACAGACAAAGTCAAATCTTGTTTAACGGACAAAAACACAAATTATATTGTTGCTGATAACTTCTATGGAATCATCAGTGCATCAAAGCACTACAAGCAAAAGACGACAGGTGAGTCAAATGTTTAATTTCTGTTTCACAATCCATCTGTGCCACATTATGAGATGAATGATCCTCCTGAATATGGATAATTTTTCTATAATACTGTAATTTATAGAATACGACTATTTTTGCAGCTGCAGGTTTAAATATGTTTGCAGTATCTTCTTTTAGGTCTGAATTTTGATGGGATGTTTAAACTATTTGGGTTTTCATCACCTGTGGTTAGTTTATTCTGCTGTAAGACACTTTCCCAATATAAAAAATATTTCTAAAATGACCAAAATGTTTAGTGTAGAGCAATGTCCACTTTGTCATTGCTCTACAAAAGTCATTTCTTGCAGCAGTTAAAAGCTGCAGTTCAATGTCTGTCATTTTATTTATATAGCATTTTACTTTACACCAAGCATCCACAATTTAATAAATAAAAAGATGAATTTTTCTGAGGCAAGATAAGTTTTTGCAAAGGCAGGAAAATGTATAAATGACGTTTTATCTCAGAGCTTTCTGACTAAATTCTGACTCCAAGTAGAGCCTAATGTGCATCAGTTCACTTTCAAACAGCAAGTTATTATTATAGATTCATGGTTTTATTGCATTGATTTAATTCTCAAATATTCTTTCTTTTGAACTGAAAGATGTTATCAAAGGGATTTGTATCACTACAGTTTATAACAACTGCAAAGAGAGAGGTGAGTATCTGAAAACTCTACAGTTGTCAATATTTAAATGCTTCTGTTAGATTCTGAAGGTTTATTGTTTCAAAGATACTATTATGTTGGGGTTTTTTTATTTATATAATTAATAACATTTCTGATTATGTTCTCTTTGTTTCGGTTTAAAGAACTGCCATACGGCTTGACTTGTGGCGAAGTCTCTTCAGAGATTTGCAGTAACCTGGGTGAGAATCAACCAGAAATCTGAGATGAAGCAGATTTTCTGTTTTTCTTTGACTCTCTGAACTCAGACCTAAGAAAACTTAGACATGCAAGAGGATCAGTTTTCTTTGACTCAAATCAACATTTCAGGTTTTTGTGAAGATGAAAAAAAAATACGACTGAACTTCAATG